AAGTGATTCTGTTCCTGCTCAACACATTACACTGAGCGGAGCTGTCGACCGCCCCAAGATGGCGCCACCAGATCATATGAGAGCTGACGATGCGGGTCAGTGTCTGAGTGGCTCACAGTCACATGAAATCATCGCGTATTTGACGTGTAGTCGACGCGTTCTTAATGCGTCAACTACGTGTGACAGATTGAAAGGCGAAGACAACACGGTAATAACACGCAGACAGCGCGTGAAACACCTGTTATTCACGTGTTGTCTACGTGTCACAAACCAGGAGAACAGTAATAGAACCATTTAGCTTCCATAAAGCTACAGCTAGCAGACGAGCTTTAGCTCAAAAAGCGCATTTCATCCCAGAGTGACACATCACCTTTCGTCACTTCCGGACCTGCGCAGTTGTCTCAAACCTCTACCGAGCAGCGAACAGAGAACCAGCTGGAAAAAACGATAAAACAGGCAGAATAAGAGACGGTTTCTGAAATATGTTCGCTTAAAAGACACTTTGAAGGTAGAAAACCCGGAGGAGAGCAGCTCAGACGGCTGGAAAGCATCGCAGAGCCTCAGGAACCGTCCAGGCATCGGCTCGGTCTGCCGTAGAGGGAAGGAAGAGTCAGTTCGGCCAAAGAGACGCAGCGCAGCAAGAAACCATGAACCCTGAGTAGTGAGTCTCCTCTTCATCACCTCCTCATCCTCACAGCTGCTCTGTTACCATGGTATCTGCTCTAACAAGGGGGGGGCGCGGATTTAAAGGACATAGCTGGCTCCTTGTTGGCCCCTAGCTGGCCCCTAGCTCCTAGGTGGCACATCTGTCCCCTAGCTGGCTCCTAGCCATCTCCTTGCTGGCCCTTAGATGACCCCTAGGTGGCTCCAAGCTGGCCCCTAGCTTGCTCCGAGCTGGCCCCAAGCTATCTCCTTTCTGGCCCCCAGCTATCCCCTATCTGGCCCCTATCTGGCTCCTTGCTGGCCCCTAGCTGGCTCCAAGCTTGCTCCAAGCTGGCCTCTAGCCATCTCATTTCTGGCCCCTAGCCGGCGCCTAGCCATCTCCTTGCTGGCCCCTAGCTTGCTCCGAGCTGGCTCCTAGATGGCTCCTAGATGGCTTCTAGCTGACCCCTAGCTGGCTCGAAGCTGGCCCCTAGCTGACCCCTAGCTTGCTCCTAGATGGCTTCTAGATGGCTCCTGGATGGCTCCGAGCTGGCTCCTGGATGGCTCTGAGCTGGCCCCTAGCTGACCCCTAGCTTGC